TCAGGATTTTCAAAACGGGCATGGTCATCTTTTATATCAGCATATATAACGGCATCGGTCTCGGTTATATGCTCGGGCATGGACGAGCTCCCTTCATTGATATTTATGCATGTAATGGTAGCCATCTCTGACGGTTGTCGTCTGTTAAAATTGTATTATATATGTACTGATTAAAACACTGATAGACAACTATTTGGGGAAAAGTTGAAATAAAGAATAGCTGCATGTAAGCAAACGAGTTAAGAATCAATCCACATAATACTAGTACTTACTGGCTAACTTCGTCTCGTTCAGAAGTTCCTGGAATATTAAATAATATGTATGTATTCTTTAATTAAATGACAAACATTAAAGGGGGACTAGCACGAAAATCATCCAAATTTTAATTCAGCTGAAACTTTACTGGAACGTGTAACCCTTAAAGGTCTAATAATCACTGTTTAAAGTTTTTTCCTGATATTTGGATGGGAAGTATTATATTTCAGGGTCTGAATGGGGTTAACTGTTAACTGAGAAACGGCTAAAAAATTAACTGTTAACTGAGAATTCCGTATTTTTTTAGCTGATAACTGAGATCGACGAGATAACTGATAACTGATATCTGCTTATTTTTGATTCATAGATTTAAAAAATATATATTGCYTTTTTTTATTCAAAAGCTATTTGAGGCCATTCACCACCATATTGCCTTGTGTCAGTTGATACTCTGTTACGTATTTATTGTTGATGTAGAGTTGATGTTGAGTTGAGTTGACCTTTGATCACTTTACGTCGATTTGCTGGACGGTTTGGTCAGTCAGTGAATAGTGGTATCGTTAAAGTTCTTGTCGTATAGAAAGGACGAGGAAGCTCCGTTCGAGCGCCACCGAAGTCGAGTACCCATTGACTTTGCTTTACGATTCTGTGCCAAAATTAAAACATCATTTAGTCGAATTCCTTAGCCTCAAGTAGCAGGCAACTCAACGCACAGTCTTGGGAGTTTTCACTTACATTTCGTAAAGCTCTACCGGCTTTCAAAAGTGCCAGGAAAGATCGAAAACTACGCCATCAATAGTGATAGCATCAACAAAAGCTATGTCTATACCAATAACATTTGTCAACGACAATAGTGTGGCAGTTTTAACTAAATACTAGGCCCAAATTGACGAATATGAATATGACTCAGATGAAGAGACACTCGCAGAAGACGATGAGCTGACCGTTAAACCAGCTTGCGTGACCCGTTTAGGTAGGGCTGTACGAGCATTCCTACGAATGGATTTATGATCATGTTCATAAACGCATAACAAAAGATTCATCTATATTTTCTTAAAATTTAAGGTTTAGTCTTTCCACAATTACTGTAAAGCCATAGTTACGTAGGATTTTTATTGGCTCTAGCCATTGTTTAGCAGTTCATCTMTTCGTATTTTCTCCTGTGAAAATTATATTATTTTTGCTTGGTTTCACCGTCCTTTTTTAACAGACTAAAAAGTTGTTTCACTTTTTGGGACATTTCACAGGTCGGAAATTAATTTTTCCGAATTTATTTCCAAGGGTCTTTCGCCCGGAATAACCTCGTTCCCAAGCACCACAACCTATTATTATATATATATTATTTCTATATCTTCATGTATTTCATAACTGCTACGCGGTCCACATATTCTCATCTTTCCACCTTAATTGCTTACTATCAATCACGTGACTTTTTTGGAGTTGACTGTGGGGGGCAAACAAGCGGTTGACTGGGGGGCAACTAGAAGATGTTAATTCAAAACATGTCAAAATAAGTCCTCAAACTATTGTATTTGACTATTTTCACGACATCAAACCAGAAA